CACAAAACAAAGTAACAATAATTGGGCACCTTTTAAAAGTTACACAAAAACTGGTGCTGAGGTAGACAATACAAAAAATTAAAGCACAACAAATGTAAAACCATTTCGACACCAAGAACACAGTCTTGTCACTAGAACAAGGCAAATGGAGCGAAAATGGCTGTTTGGTCCCACGTGGATCCTCAGTCTGAGTATTAATTTGTGTAACAATGGCACAAATATGGGCGCACTGAGTGACATGGCTACTTCCTGTCTGAAAGCAAAGTAAAACACAGTGATACAGCGGCAGGGATGCCAAGTTTTCACTTAAATGCTGACCTGTAGATGTATTGCTTGTGGCAACCGAAATAAAAGTAGCTGAAAGCGGTTACAAAACTAAACGTAGTATACATAATGACAAAGAAAGTGTAGTGTTTATCCTAAAATTGATATCTGTGATGTTCTGTGAGTAAAGTAAAGGCATCCCTGATTGCCTAAGAGCACAGTTCATATCAAAGTGACTTTGCATAAAGACACAAATACAGGGCAGAAGATGTATCAAATCATTTACAGGGTGTCTGTCAGAGCACCTCTTTGTTGCTAACCGGTGCATGTATTTAACACTGAATAAGTCGACCACATTGACTCACACTGCACACACAAGGACCAGTACAGACCGTATAGGTGACTCTAATCTTACAGTGAGCGGTGAACACGATACAAACACACAGATACAGCTTTACTTTTCATGTCTTACAGGTCGCTTGTGCTCCATGACCTACAGCTCTTGGCGTTAGTTCACTCACAGTCATTTTATACTCAAAATGTGGAATCATCATCATCATATGAATTGACACCCAGCAGCAATGACTACAATATGTCTTTACATACATCTACTACTTGTATATGTTTAACATTGCAAAATAAGCACAAGAAAATAATTTTCCACTCAAATCAAGAACAAGCACAAATGCAAAAGATACTGTAAAAATATTTGCCTCACTCAAAATAAACAAAAAAGAATGGGTCGCACAATACCCCGTACAAGAATACAACATATTCCCTTATCAAAGTGCCGCGTTTGGCTCTTGTCGAGAGATTTATTTTCACAGAAAGTCACCTATTCGTTTTTGTTTTCTCTAGCGAACTTCCCCACGTAACTGCACGCATCAGTACCGCATCTCTGATGACTTACCGCTTGAATAATTTTCACATAAAAACATCATTTTTATTCCCATTGTTTCAAGTTTATGCCCTCAAGTATCTAATAACTAAACATTTTCTCAACGCTATTCTAAAATCATCTAGAATGTATGCATCTACCCTTTCAGGTTGAATACATTTCATCGTAAGGAGTGTAAATATAATAACGAACGAACCGGCCTGTTTTTTTCTAGCAAATGGAAACATGAGATTGGGCGTAAATGAAAATGCAAGTTACAAGCAAAACAAAAGTGTGCTTTTGCTTTAGTGCAAAACTGAGAGCAGAGTAGAGGTAGCCCTGAAACAGATGGCCGAGAGGCAGATATGCACACTAGTACTACGCTTAATGCTAAAATACCACTGAATAATTCACAGACCCAGACGTAATTTAAGGTGTGGTCACAATAGCCAAATGTTCACTGTGTCAATACTGTAATGATGTGTGAATTTGCACAATGTGAAGACCCCGAGGTGGTGATTTTCGTATGAATGCATAAGTTGTTATTCGTATGAAAACGTATGATTTTTAAAAAATAAACATAAGCATGAAGGTCCATCCCTAAACGTAACCATCAGTGGGCCGTAAGCAGATGAAGCACAGCTCACACAGAAGTCACTTTCAAACCATCTTTCTGTTGGTCAATGAGGCAAATTCACATGACCAAGTTGAACCGGTTGCAAAATCTGCGAAAGTGGAAATCTTTTGCCCTTATGTGAAATTCCTGATTATGAAGATTCCTATTGAAAATATTGGATTTCCAACCCAATCTCATGAGAAATCGTAACTATTTTATGAGGAGGATTTTGTATGAATTAGTACGATGTGATTTGTTACGGAAATGGACAATTTTTTAGAAAAATACGTAAGCATGAAGGTCCACCCCTAAACTTTACCATCAGTGGGGCGTAAGCAGATCATACAAAAATGTATAAATAAGATGTACAAATTTACACTAATTAGTCAAAAATTTGCCAGAACATAAAATAGTTACGTATTGGCATGAGTGTGTATTGTAATTTTGCCTGTTGAAATTCGCCAAAGGCAAATGTGACCACGCCTTTACTGATTTTTTAAGAATACTCCAGTAGTGCAGAAAAGATTTAAAAATAGTAAAACACTTTAAATGTAAAGTACTACATTCTTTTTGATAACTAAAACATTTACTAGTTAACCAAAACATAAACACATTAGTGGCAGATATATAGAATGTTGCGAACAAACGTTCCAATTCTGCTTAAATTTTGCGGGATCTCTCGAATTCTGTGTGGGACTGATGATGTGGTATTCTGAATGCATTGTGCAGCTTTTAAACAAAGCTCAGCAGGAAATGAGAGACAAAGACTAGTACAAAAATAAATCATGTGAGGTAACAAAATTAGGCAATTCAAGTAAAACGTTCAAATAGAGATGACAGAACACAAACTAAAACGGCGAGCTAACTAAAGGTATCCTCAGCAGAAGACTGCAGAAACATATACTGCATTGTGGTTTTTAATTGTAAAAAATAATCTCTTTTTAATTCATAAATTGATTTCTGAGTATGACATTAACATTTCATTAGACTATAATGCCTGCAGTTGCAAAACTGTGATTTTGTCATGTTACCATGTGAAAGTTAAAATAAAATCAACTGACATGCTGTATTATTTGGTGTGAAAGTGACTGAAATGAAAGCAAATCACAGAGATTCACCTCTCTGGCTTCGTCTGAATGCACTAAATGCAGAATGTGGTGCTGAAAACAACACAAATGGGCCTCTGAAACTGCACAGTGTAGTTATTTAAGGTTGAATAAATGTCCCTGAACATCCACTACAGTTGCTTGGCAGCACATTTTGGATGTACCTCTGAGAAAAGCTGTTTTGTTAAGCACTTTATTACGCTTTAAAGAAAATGACTCTTGGGTCCAATCCTGTGCATTTCCTCGCATGTATTTATAAAAATAAAAAAAAACATCAAAATTGAGTACTAGAGAGCCTAATAATGAACTTAAGGAAGCAATTTACTAAAAAAGGGCATAATTTCATTCGCTAATGTGTTCAGCTCCTCTATTTCATCATGTGTGTGAATTTTAAGCTTTGGTCCATGTTTTTATTTGACTCAGAATAGCTCCATTTAGACCCCATGAAATCAACATATGAGGCTTTGAGTCGATGTGTGTGAGCTTTAAGGTTGCTAGCGTATTCTAAACGTTGACCTTTAGCGGATATGCATTTAAAATCATGGTTGTGATGCAACTAAAGACTATTGGATGATCCCTATGACATTCCCCACCACTTGGAGATTTCATGGGGTCTTGAAAGTCTATGGCTTATGGGTTGTCCGTGGAGAAAAAGTGTGGGAATCCTTATTTGAATAAAACATTACATCATGATCATGCAGTGAATTTCTCCAATTAATAGGGTGGAATGCAGACAAATGGATTCTCGTCACACTTTCTGAAAATTCATATCCCTTTATCACATATCACATTTCCATTTTATAAACATTTGTGAGTGCAGTTACATCCTAAAAATGTGCACAAATGCATGTCACAAACGAAAGGTAAAAAAAATCCACATCACATTTCATCACTTTGACCACGCCCCCTCACCATCTTTGGCCTGGACCAAAAGCAAACCTTCAGGTGAATTGTTCTTGGGTGCATCTTGCCACTTTCTCATTCGGTTTTGTCGGCCCATCTCACACATAGCAGAGGTACAGGTAGGTCTTCTCTATCCTCCAGTCTGGGGGCACATCCTCGGGCTTGTGGGCCTTCATGTGCTTCTGCATGGACGAGAGGCTGGGGCAGTACTCCTGGCAGATGGTGCACTGGTAGGGAGAAGCGCCGTTGTGGGTACGCAGGTGTTTGATCATGGCGGAGTAGTCCCTCGAGCGCTGGTGGCACAGCTTGCACTCAAATGGCTTCTCACCTGTAGAGAACAAGTACAGAACATTTCAAACTACCAATAATGTGAAAATGACAGAAACAGTGTGTTGATTAAAGTCAGCATGAAATGAGAATCACAGCTCATTTTACTTCCATAATATGATGGATAATGTTCGGGTCTATGAATTTATTCCAGGGTTATTATTGTAAACTAAAAGTAAAACTAAAATCATATAAGATTTTTGTTACTTAAAATAAGCAAAAAATAATGGTAATTAAAAAAAAAACAGTTAAAAATGACAAAAATACACACAAAAAATAGACAAATTTATTATATTTCATTACTTAAATGTTAACTGAAATAAAAATTATATAAAAAAAACATTTCAGCTAGTTGAAATAAAATAATTAGACAACATTCCTCGTTTACGTTTAGTTTAACTGGTACTACAATAAGTAAATATAAACCATTAACTATGCAGAAAATAAAAATATTGAAATTATAAAAATGCTAAAACAGAAAATTTTGTAAAACTATTAAAATTAAAACTAATTAAAAGCTAATAAAAACAGAAAATATATAAATAAAATCTAATTCAAAATACAACAAAAAAAAACGTACATCCATAGTAAAAACGAATAAAAAACTGTAATAATATATCAGATACTGAAATAAAACTGATTTCTGCATTTAAAAAAAATATGCAATTCAGTGACTTAACTGCACCTATGCTATAATGAGCATCTAATAATTTCTGAATTAAAATTCATTTTTATTTTTTAAAACAATGAAATTCTTGAAAAGAAAAAATTTTAAGTAGTTTATTTGTTTAACATTTCTCAGAAAATTTTTAAAAATATATATATAAAAAAAATAAATAAACAAAACTGCCTCATTGCTTATTAATTTGAAAAAGTCCCCACCACTTGGAGATTTCATGGAGTCTTGAAAGTCTATGGCTTATGGGTTGTCCGTGGAGAAAAAGTGTGGGAATCCTTATTTGAATAAAACATTACATCATGATCATGCCATCCAATTAATAGGGTGGAATGCAGACAAATGGATTCTCGTCACACTTTCTGAAAATTCATATCCCTTTATCACATATCACATTTCCATTTTATAAACATTTGTGAGTGCAGTTACATCCTAAAAATGTGCACAAATGCATGTCACAAATAGAAGGTCAAAAAAATCCACTTCACATTTCATTACTTTGACCACGCCCTCTCACCATCTTTGGCTAGGACCAAAAGCAAACCTTCAAGTGAATTGTCTTTGGGCGTATCTTGCCACTTTCCCATTCCGTTTTGTTGCACTGTCTCACACGTAGCAGAGGTACAGGTAGGTCTTCTCTATCCTCCAGTCTGGGGGCACATCCTCGGGCTTGTGGGCCTTCATGTGCTTCTGCATGGACGAGAGGCTGGGGCAGTACTCCTGGCAGATGGTGCACTGGTAGGGTGAAGCGCCGTTGTGGGTACGCAGGTGTTTGATCATGGCGGAGTAGTCCCTCGAGCGCTGGTGGCACAGCTTGCACTCAAATGGCTTCTCACCTGTAGAGAACAAGTACAGAACATTTCAAACTACCAATAATGTGAAAATGACAGAAACAGTGTGTTGATTAAAGTCAGCATGAAATGAGAATCACAGCTCATTTTACTTCCATAATATGATGGATAATGTTCGGATCTATGAATTTATTCCAGGGTTATTATTGTAAACTAAAAGTAAAACTAAAATCATATAAGATTTTTGTTACTTAAAATAAGCAAAAAATAATGGTAATTAAAAAAAAAACAGTTAAAAATGACAAAAATACACACAAAAAATAGACAAATTTATTATATTTCATTACTTAAATGTTAACTGAAATAAAAATTATATAAAAAAAACATTTCAGCTAGTTGAAATAAAATAATTAGACAACATTCCTCGTTTACGTTTAGTTTAACTGGTACTACAATAAGTAAATATAAACCATTAACTATGCAGAAAATAAAAATATTGAAATTATAAAAATGCTAAAACAGAAAATTTTGTAAAACTATTAAAATTAAAACTAATTAAAAGCTAATAAAAACAGAAAATATATAAATAAAATCTAATTCAAAATACAACAAAAAAAAACGTACATCCATAGTAAAAACTAATAAAAAACTGTAATAATATATCAGATACTGAAATAAAACTGATTTCTGCATTTAAAAAAAATATGCAATTCAGTGACTTAACTGCACCTATGCTATAATGAGCATCTAATAATTTCTGAATTAAAATTCATTTTTATTTTTTAAAACAATGAAATTCTTGAAAAGAAAAAATTTTAAGTAGTTTATTTGTTTAACATTTCTCAGAAAATGTTTAAAAATATATATATAAAAAAAATAAATAAACAAAACTGCCTCATTGCTTATTAATTTGAAAAACATTTTTTAAAGTCATGAAATTACATCACAGAGAAACCCCTGCAGACCCTCAAAACTGTGTGACAAGGTCAATAAGACTCTTAAAATATCAGATAATTTGACCCTTTTATTTTAATTAATAGTTCGTGATATTTCTAAAACATACTTTTTTATCTTGAAAAATGTATTTAAAAACTTTTTTTTTTAAATGTTAAATGAAAAAAAAAAAAAAGACTGGCCAGTACTGATGAAAGGTTATCATGATAGCAAGATTCTAGATTCTAGATTTCCCATACTAGCTGCTTCCTGTCTGATAAGGTGAAGTTAAGATGCCACCTGCTGTCCAGGACAGGAACGACAGATGTGTAGAGCCGTGGGTTTGCTGCCTGCCACTGAGCACAGCAAACAGAGTATTGATCCACCATTGACAGCAAGTGTAAATGTCAGTGATTCTCCGGCTGGTTGTGTGAAGGAGCAGTGGCCTTTCAGCCGAGAGTTTCTGCTCTTGTTATCTTCACCTGCCCGGTCTCATGGCTGCAGCCCCACTTGACACAAAGACAGCAATTATTTGACAGGCCTCCTGATAGGTTTGCTTTAGCAGCTGCCTTATTGAGTGCCAGAGAGCAGCAGCAATCAGCCTGTAATTCCAGCTTAGCTGAAAGATTTAATATGCCACCATGAGAGAACAAAATAGATATAAGGAATTTACGCTAATTTCTAGCGTGGACCTGAAAATGTCAAGATCTGAATTCTTCAGTGTAAAACTGTGGCCTTATAACGTAATACAATTCATTTATCATTTTATAAAGCTGTTGCCTTGTTTTACTATACCATATTTGCTAGAAGGCACCATGCTGGCGTGTCAAAGATCTCTAACTTGGAAGAGCAGGTCATTGTGTTTCCAGTTTGTATTTATTAACCTGTGAGCTTCTACGGCTTTGGGAATCACTGTTAAAGTGAAGCGGTCATCAGCTGGACCGCAGGTCTGTGCAGATGAGGTGAAATGCTATTTAAGCTGCAGAATGAATGTGGCTGACCTGTGTGGACACGGTAGTGGGTCTCCAGCTGATGCTTGAGGCTGAACTTCTTGCCGCAGCCGTTACATTCATAAGGCTTCTCTCCGGTGTGGATGCGCTTGTGACCCTTCAGTGTGCTCTCGTCACGGAAGCAGCTGCCGCAGAACTCGCACTCGAACGGATGGTCACCTGTCGTGCAGAGAGACAATGATAAAGTTATTCATCTGAATGCATTTTTAATTGGGAGAATTGGTGTTTTTATTCTAGAAAGCATTCGATTGGAGAAAAATGGGCTTTTCATCCATAGAGCAGGTAGACAACGGGACCAGTGTAGTGTGATTCACGAACAAATGACTCTCATGAGCCAGTTCCTTTTAGTGAATCACAACCATACTGTGCTACCAGTGTAGTCAGATTCAGGAACAAATTATGCTTACAAGTAGGTTCTTTTTAATGAATCCAAAACACACAGCAAGGCTCCCTCTTTTTATATGCATTATTTTGATTATCACTTTACTTTATTATTGTAATTACATTTTTCTCTCTTTTGTTTCATGGTCCTGGGCAGATCAAGGACTTTGTTGTATATAACTTATTTATACTTTATTAAAGGTACAATATGTAAGTTTTCACCTCTAGAGGGCGTGTATTCAAAACAAACAAAGAAACAAAGGCGTAGTTTGATGACGCCGTGACTGAGTGTGGAATCATGGGAGTTGTCGTCTTCATCCCCACAGCCGATGCAATTCGACGGGACTCAGGCAGAAATCATGTTCATGGATGAGCTAATGTATTAAAGATTTATTAACCTGGTAGTATGAAGCAGAATGAGGCAGAAAGCCGTCGAAGAGAAACGAGGCCGCTGAAGCAATTGCTAATGAGAGACGAGAGTGACACACGGCTCGAAAGCAGCGGAGCTTTTATTATGCCACACTTTAGCGCTTCCGCTCCTTCCGGTCGTGCGTATGTGGGGTAAAGCAGCGCTGTTTTATCATGCTAGATACGTTTGAAAGTTCTGATATAATGCTACTCTGTGCGGTCGTCACCTGTTAATAAAATGCACAACATATTAAAGCATCTTTGGTGTTTCCATATTTTCGGAAATTGAGGGGTTATGACGTCATTGGCAGGCGACACAATGACAAGTTTTTTTTTTTTTTTTTTTTTTTCCTTTTCCTTTCTCTTTTGTGTTAGTGTTTTTGGCAAATACAATATGTTTATCACAAAAAATAAAAATAAAAAGAACCAATCTGAAATACTGGTCTGAATAATTTACAGAATTAGCAAGAGAGAATTTCTTATGTAAAAATGAACAATAATCAAATAAAGCAGAACTGAATCAAATTGATTCAGTGTTATTTTAGCATTATTTATCTACTATTATAGTCTTTATTAATATTTTGAATGATCTTACACACACATACATATGTAGAATACAAAATAAAAACTCAGTATGTATTCAGTTTAATTTTAGTTTGTTTTAATAATTTTTATCGGCTTTTGTGATTTTTATTCATATATTAGTTTCATTTGTATTTATTTCAGTTGTAGTTTTATTAATTTGAGTACTTTCAATGTATTTTATTTCAGTTAGCTGCCAAGGCAACTTTGCAAAATTGTAATTGAAGTTACATTTTAAATTTAACATCACATTTTTACATTTTTTCATCTAGTACTAAAATTGTATTTCATTGAAATAATTTCAATTATTTAAAAAATATATATTTTTTATAGTTTTAGTTTTTAAAAAGCTTAAGAATAACAACATTGAATCAAATAGGAATCACAACAAATTTAATCAAGTCAAGAGCTTCCTATGAACTGAAATTTAATTGAATCGTTATCGATACCTAGCTCTATTTGTACATGGTTTCTATATGGTTAAAGCTGGTCATTAGTTGTTCCAAATTGGTTTAGTTGGTTGACTAGTTGCACTCTCAGCTGGCGGGGGCTAAGAATGACCTGTTTGAGCTGGTTAACCACATTTCATAACATAACTTGAACTAGCTGACCACCTTAGTCTGGTATGACCTGGATTTTCCTGTCAATCCATATTAAACAACAAGACTAACATTTCCTTAGTGATCACAAAGAACTATTTATTTTTTCTGTTGTATTGGCACATCTTATAAATAAAAACAGTCAGAGAGTTGCGCTCAGATGACAGAGTTATTAATATCGAGTAAACATCACAAGGTGCTGAAAGGGAATTATCCGGCACATTTCCCTCCACTGGCTGTTCTAATGTCAGTGATCAGTACGAGTCTGATATGTGGTGATTTCAAACGCCGGCCGATTGCTAATTACTTTCCCGCTCTGACTAGCAGCCCCTCATATCATTTCCTCAGACAGCAGCGGCATATAACGCTCACAATATTTAATACATTTCAGCCCGGGCGCCGTGGCTTTAAAGTAATCTGCGGTGACCTATGCTCTTCATTATCTCCCTGTCCAAGTGCTAGCCGTGCTCGGGAATAAATTGCATCTCTTGTTATGTTCCGTCATGCTCCGACTTAAACCCTCCTCTTAAGAGACAATGCAGAAATTACCTGAGCGTGTTCTCTAAGCCAATCACAACCCGCCATTCACATTCAAATACACTTCTGCACTTCTGAGATGAATGGGTTTCTATCTGGGCTAAGAGAAAAAAAAAGCAGACTGGGAGAGATGAGATCCCTAGTGAACAGATATGAGATGATAGATAGAGAGGCAGTCTTTATGCATCTGTATCAACTTATCCGATGCACCTTCTGAAAGCCCTCCAGCCTGTCTGTCATTAAAGTTAATTGCCCAGAGGCGGGCAGCAGGCAGGCCAGACTCACAACACCACAGGCATGCTAATGCGCTAACGCCGTCTACTGCGTGCGCATTCTGAACATGTCACTCGCACTGACTCCACGTTGGAGGAAATATCCACAGGTATCAGCTTCGGTGCGTTTCAATGCTTGAATGTCTATTATTGTGCAGACAATGTCAAACTGGAAGTTAAATGAGGTGTCAAACACATGTTTAAGTGTTTATTGACAATAGTACATTTTAGGTTAGACACTACTGTTCCATAATAAATAAAAAGGAGTGATTTTTACATAAGCATTGTTAAATATTGAATAAGCTTTGTCTTGCCTGACAAAATGGCTTAAAAAGTCAAGGCCGAGCGACCTGCAGAGACTGTCTGTGCCATAAGCAATGTGAGCTTTGTGCTCTGTACCGTCAAACACAGCTGTGAACATAGACAGCCGCCACTGTCTGCAAATGGCCTGGCAGTGAAATGGAGAGCGAACAGGAATGGCATATTAATGAGAACAGGCTACATGTGCAGAATGAAGAGAGGAGCAACTGGAGACGCACGCAGCCCATTGTTTGATTTGCCCCTCACATTGTAAATACAATGCAGATGGTATGAAATATACAGGTAGGTACTTGTTGTGTTGGGGCAAATTACATCTAAGGTTCTTTTTTATTTATTAGTTATGTTTTTGTTGTTGCATCATGAAATATTCCAGCTGAAAAGACTGGTAGAGCTGATGATTTATGCTGGTTAGTGCTGGTAGATCAATATCATTGTTGTTTTTTCTGACGACGCTGGCTGAGCAAGGGAGGCTTTTTGGGTAAGCTAGTTAAGAAGCCCTGTAGTTATACTTCACTCTTAAAAATAAATGTTCTTTATTCACATTGATGGTTCCACAAAGAACCTTTAACATCCATGGAATCTTTCCATTCCACAAAAGGTTCTGTATAGTGGAAAAAAAGTTTTTTAGATTAATATAGTGTTCTTCAAACTAAGAAAAATATGGTTCTTTTAAGAACTGTTCACTGAAAGGGTCTTTAGGGAACCAAAAATGGTTCTTATGGCATTGCTGAAAAACCCCTATTTGGAACATACTAGCATCCAAAAGTCAGCATACATTGACATGAACAGTAACGGGCAAAGGTCTGGATTTACACCCACATCTCACACAAGATCTTTTGAATTTCTTGCTTTTTAAATAGCATTTTGATTAAATAGAGAGCAAATTGCGACCTAAAAATTGTAACCAAAAGTCAGAGACCTTCAATATGACCTCAAATATTTTCTCATTAAATTCTTCCAAAACCAAATTGATATCTGATTTCTGTTTTCCACATAAAGAGCTCTTGTTAGAGCTCATACTGTATGCAACAGTTGTCTCATTTCTTTCTGCTTTTTTATTTTAGGATAAACATCTTAAGACTATGTTTATTTAAATGAGGTGCACCTAAGACTGTCAATAAGTCTCCTAAGTTTTGAAAGGATTTCTAAATTGCAAAAAATGTCAGGGTTTTGGCTTCGTTTTCCTATTGACAAAACAAAGCCAAAACCCGGACATTTTAGGCAATTTAGAAATGCCGGCCAGGACGTGTCCGGGAAAATTAACCCCACAATTTTAAACAATAATTTGAAAGGATTTCTAAATTGCCAAAAATGTCAGGGTTTTGGCTTCGTTTTCCTATTGACAAAACAAAGCCAAAACCCGGACATTTTAGGCAATTTAGAAATGCCGGCCAGGACGTGTCCGGGAAAATTAACTCTTGAGATGTGATATAAAACACCACAATTTTAGTAACTAAGTTTATGCTCACTTCTGTAAGTTGTTTTAAAACTCCTGCAATTCAAGTGAAGAAAAATCAGATTTTGCTTTTTGAAATAGCTACAGAAGTTGACATTTACTCAGACTCTGTTAGGAACGTCAGAATGTCCTTTCAGATGTTGTTCTGGAAAAACTCATGTAGCAGTCTGTGGCGAGATGGAGTGCATACTTAATGCCTCGACTCTTTAAAAAAACAACCTCGCTTCATTTCTGGCCTCTCTTATCAAAAATGTACATGTTGAGTCTAGACTTCAACTGACTCTGACAATCTTGCTGGTATTTCAGGTCAGAAAGAGCAAAAGCGAGAGAAAGATGCACTCTTGCAAGTAAATGGAGTAGGGGCGATTTTTGTGCTCTTTCTGTTCACTGCCAGACCATATGGATTTAATCATCTCTGTTTGCCTGGTTATGAAGGAAAAACAGAGATAACTGTTAAACATGCTTATACAAAGTACACTGATATAATCTGTTTTAACAAATTATAATGGGTGTCGATTCATATTTATTTAGTTTCTAGCAAATGTTTGCAGGAGCATGTTTAATATATTGTAATCCTACCTGTTGCAATGACAAGAATAAGAATGCACTTTCTCAGTGCCAGCTTACCAAATGTCCTTCTTCCACCTAAATCCCCTCTTTTTGTCATCGTTTTTGGGTCATTTGATAATTGAATTGTCACACTCAGAAATACATTACATTATGAGAATGGTAAAAAAGGTCAGGTTTGACCTACTGTCTGTAATAGAGGGGCTTGACTTAAGCTTAAAGTTACCCTGAAGGAAACGATGGGGAGAAGTGAGGTAGAGAAAGAGACAAAAGACTGTCAGAAGATAGTCTGAGCCTCAGATGGGCCGCCCACTGACTGTAGGGAGACAAAGTTTTGTTTACAAGTTACCACACTGGAAGAAGTCACTGGATTGACAAAGTCTGAGAGGTTTTTGGCTCTGAATATTTTTTCAGAAGAGGAGCTTGAGTAAGTTAAAGACACAATATCCATTATTTGAGCAAACGATCACTCTATTTGTTGCATTCCAGTCATGATAGCACTGCCTTTAGCATTAGCATTGACAATTTATGTGTCAGATATTAGGCCCATTTCTATCTAGGTGGGTGGTTCTTTGGCATAAATGTGACGATATGTACCTGACTTTGTCAATACTCAAAAATCTGGCTTGTCTGAGGATAAGTAAGAGATTTATATACTGAACAAAATTATAAACGCAACACCTTGATATGCCACACCTGTGAGGTGGATGGATTATCTCGGCAAAGGAGAAGTGCTCACTAACACAGATTTGGACAGATTTGTGAACAATATTTGAGAGAAATAGGCCTTTTGTGTACATAGAAAAAGTCTTAGATCTTTGAGTTCAGCTCATAAAAAATGGGGGAAAAAACAAAAGTGTTGCGTTTATAATTTTGTTCAGTGTATAACCCTAGCAAGACTATATGAACATGCTCCTCCTAAACTGTTTGAAACTTTGCCACATCTCAGCTTGTGGCCCGCTTGCCCTTTTCTGCATTAATGTGCTTTTAGATGACTCAGATATTGGCAGTTTGAGTGATGTTCAGGTAAAGCTCACCTGTGTGCAAGCGGAGATGGCGTTTGAGCGCTGTGTGGCTCGGGAAGGTGCGTTCACACTCGCTGCAGACATAGCTGCGCATGCCGGCGTGAATCTCCATGTGCTGCTGCAAAGCCTTCTGGGTCTGGAAACGCTTCCCACATAGGAGACAAAACACTGCCATGTCTGAGCCTGAAGATGAGAGACAAAATGAGAAGGCATTTGGGAGTTCAATTAGTGTTTAGTGCAAAGAATGCATAATTTGGATTTCAGCCATTTTGCAGTTAAGTACATTTTAGCAAAATGAATGAATAAGTCTATATGTTTCATAATGGATGGGGTTAAAGAGACTTAGATGTATTGTCTTAGTTTCTCTTTTCTGCACAAAAAACAAACAAAACAAAACTGTTTTCAGTATCTATGGCCAATCAATAATGTATCTTTCAAGTAAAGCTGTCTCTAATTTAAAATCTTTGTGAAAGCCCAGTGGTGGGCTCGTGAACAGCAGGCTGGGATTGACTTCTCACTCAATCAATCAGCATTTACGACAGAGCTGAGAGTAAAAAAAGCATTAGTGCCTGAGACACATAAAAATGAACCTCTACACTTCACTGACAGCTCATCTGTAATGTGAGTTTTGTGTAAATGCACTCTGACAAGTTGCCCAATTTCTCTTCCATTCTCTCCAAGTTTAAGGGCCGACATTGATTACGAAGGGCCATTCAGGGGCCGGGAGAAGATATTCAACCTTGAAAACATTTTGACTAAGATCAAACATACAAAAGTAACATGTTTTATGGGTTAGGGTTATAAAAAAAATGTAAAAAGAAAAAGAAACATTTCAGATTCTGCTCTTTTTCTAGGTCACTATTCAAATGTAATAAATTTGTGTCATTGATCTTTGTAAATATGGTTAGATGTTCTTGCTTCAATAAAATAAAAGACATTTAGGGAATAGTAATGACAATAATAACATAATAATAATAATTATTATTCCCTGTTTTACTTTATTTATAGGACAACAACAACAACAACAACAAAAATAATAATAATAATTATTATTATTGTAGTATTTCTTATTTTTTTTTTTGTTAAATAAGAATGCAAAATGGAAGCATTTTCATGGTCTCTTTTTGGACGCCACCATAGCTCAAGAATCACAAAAAAAAAAAGGCAGAAGAAAAACATTCAAGGCAAACCTCGCTGTGAAATACTGCAGAAATACAAATGATGACACATTCTTGAGCTTCATTATATCAGACGCATAACAGATATTTGTGTTGTCAGCTCTTTTCAGAAGAAAAAAATAACCGAGGCAATCCAGCACGGGCATAAATATATGAGACGACTGTGGTAAAGAAAGAGAAAGCACGAGGGGAAGAGAGAGAGGGAGCTTAGCTTCACTACTGTTTAATGTCTTTAGGAATAATTTACCTCTACAACTCCAACTACGGTATTTATACCATCACTCAGTTCCACTGAGAGCATCCCCCTGCTTCTATTTTTCCTCCTTCTTCTCTCTCTCTCTGTCTCCTTCTGTCTCTCTCATTCTCTGTGTCTAGCTCCCAGCAGAGCTTTAATGGTTCTGAAGTGGCTGACAGAGTAGCTTAAGCCGGGTGAATAGGGCTGTTAATGGAGCCAGCTCCTCTCTCAGAGTGAGTGTCAGAGACTCGGCTCTCCTCAGCAGCTGCTCTGCTCTGTTTCCCCCAGACTCTGTTTCCCACAGTACACCTCACCCAGACACACAACAGAAGAAAGAGCTGTGTCACCAGCTACTCCTGCATGTCAAAATAAGAACATTTTAAAAAAGTAAGTGCCTACTGTGTTTTCAAACATAAAGACATCAGGGTTGGGCAAAATACAGAGTTTAATAATCGTCTCACTTTCAGTTCATGAATGGGAATGTGGATTGCACTGCCCACGTGCTATACAATTTTGAATTGGAAATATAGGAAGAGGAATTTAGTAAAATGCAATTCAAACAATAACAGTTACGACAAGGAAATTTCATTAGTCTTAAGTTTTGTGATAAAAGTATCAAGTTTTCAAAAAAATATTAAATAGCACGACTGTTTTCAACTTTGCTAATAATAAGAAATGTTACTTGAGCAACAAATCAGCATATTAGAATGATTTCTGAAGCATCATGTGACACTGAAGACTGGAGTAATGATGCTGAAAATTCAGCTTTGTATCACAGGAATAAATTACAATAAAAAAAATATTCAATTAGAAAACAGTTATTTTAAATTGTAATAATATTTCACAATATTACTGCATTTTTGATCAAATATATGCAGCCTTGGTGAGCATATAAAAGACTTGTTACAAAAACATTACACAATCCTACCAACCCCCAACAGTAGAGTATGTATAAAATAAACATAAAAACATATTAGTATTACATTAAATACTAAGAATAAGAAAACAAAATATAATGCATATTTTTTTTTAATAAATGCAGCCTTGCTTAATTGAATGTTGTGACCAATCAGAATCAAGTATTCCAGAGAGCAGTGTAATAATTCACGAATTTCTGTAAAAAAAAAATTATATCTCTGTTTTTGGTGCTTTTAAATAAAAAATATCAACTTAGTAAAACAAAATTCAGAGAAAATATATTGTATGCTATGATATAACACATTTGGGCTTTTAGAGATGAAGAAAGGAAAAAATGGAGGGGAAAAGTTGAAGCTGGGTTATTTGGCTCATTGTGTGTAAGTGGGGTCAGAGGTCAGGAGCACAGCAGGCAGATGTGAGAAGAGAGAAAGGACCCACCTGTCCCAGAATGCAATGACGAGAAAACAAAAATATCATTGAACACAGTAAAATAATCTCCAGATGAGATTGAGATGAGATGTTTCTTACATAAATGCTGATTATACTGTTGTGTGGATGTAAATCATATAGTACAAACAGGCCATTCCTTCATGAAATTTTTGCCAGTTTGCCAAAAAATTAATTCAAATGCTTCAGGATGAAATACTTAAGGTTAATCGTTAACATGATTGATAGTAATGGCAATGCAAACCAGCACCACTAATGAAGAAAAACTCAAGCAAATCGTCTATTAACCATTTGGTTATTAGACATGGAGGTCAAAAGGCCATGAAGGCATATTTTTCTCTTTTGTGTCTAGGATATTATTTTAGCCCTGCTCATGTAGAATGAATGAAGAAACACTCTCTTGAAGATAACACATTAATCATAAAGCACGCTTTAAAAATTCATATAAACCACCGACTCCTATTTCACATGCAGAGCCAGAGCCACCTTCCCACATCACACCTGAACTTTAATGTCAAAACTTTGTTTAAACAGATTATCTGGCGTAGAACCTCTTCGCCTCTTAAAACGAAAATACACAAGAAGCCAAGACCGCTTGTTCTGGCCCAATATAATTTACAATGGAGAGAGAGGCTGCATGCATCTCACCAATTCTTACAAATCCCCTTTAATCAGATATGAGAGGAACAGAGACGAGAGTGCGGGGGGGGAGGACGAGCATTAGTAAACACGAGGCTGTTCGGTGCCTTCATTGGCATTCGAGTAGGGTTAGAGTGCTGCATTTAAAATGCTGCCTGATGAGGACTACAAAATCAAACCATTTGTTACCACTATTGAGGAGCCTGCAGGCAACAGGCAATTAAATTGGAATTAGTGCAGGGAGATCAGATACAGATGATTCACACACAGAGAGGGGGAGCTGTCAAAGCCCGAGTTTCATTTCGTTTGGAGGGGACAAATACTTCAAGAGTAAACACATTTATCCCTCTGGCTTGCAAGCTCACCAGCCGCAGCAAATATAACTCTGCCATGATTCCGAACTGGATACGATTTACTAACATGGATTGTAAATACAAGAAACAAACATGCGTCTCAAGAACAGAATAAACACATCATCACTGGAATGACTGTGCCAGCTCCAAATGAAAGCTGCAGTATAGCATTTTAACAGCACCAAATGAGAAAATAATGTCCCCTGTCTGCCAAAGTTTGGGCCAAAGGTGCTCTAATATACCTGGAGTTGGCATTCCCATCATCTCAACAGCAGTTGCTCAGCTGGAGCATGCAGATTTGGATGTATATGACTTGATTTCTGCCATATTTTCTTCATGGGCATTTTTGATGTTTGTTTTCAGCAAATCACCTGAGATGCAAATGCCATGTGACAGATTATTCCGTGTTTAATCATTAGACTACTATGAAAAAATACACAATTTGAGTTGAATTACTGAAATAAATGAACTTCTCCACGACATTCTAATTTATTGAGATGCACCTGTATATATATATATATATATAGAGAGAGAGAGAGAGAGAGAGAGAGAGAGAGAATTTATTAGCAAAAACAGATAACTCTGTTTTTTTTTTAATTTTCAAAAATCATATTTTTATTGTGTTAGTTAGCTGTTTTTTTAAGTTATTTTTTTAACCTAGTCAAAATAACCCAACTGCAGTTTGATTGAGATTAATTGGAATGCACAATGAAAAAACATGATTTCTGAGAATTGTTAAAAACTGAGTTATCTGTTTTTGCAAATGAACTCTTCATATATATATATATATATATACTACTGTTAAAGTTTGTTTCTGAAAGAAGTCTCATGCTCATCAAGGCTGCAATTATTTGATAAAAAATACAGTAAAAACAGCAATATTGTGAAATAGTATTACAATTTCTTTATATGTATATATATATATATATGTGTGTGTGTGTGTGTGCGTGTTTTCTTGGCTGTCATGCAAGAAGTAAAAATGACGATTCAAAATTTTATAAAAACTGATGCTAATGTCGAAGTACTTTGCAACACCACTGGATTTCTCAGTCTCTATTGCATCTTGCTGTGTGCTTCATGTGTTCAC